TAATTTCCACAATACCGCACTGACTCTCAAGAACTTGAGCGTTAATTTAATTTCTATTTGTATCTTGAAACGTATCAAGATATTAACTCCTACATTATACGTTGAAATTCCAACGAATTTTGCAATCCTTAAACCCGTATTTTGCACAATCTGCACGCAGTCCCTCAAAGAGAATAAACTATGAGAATTCGTAGCGCATACGACTTAAGGAATTAAGTGTAATTACCTTTCTAATTTCATCCAGCACCGTTTCAAAGGACTTTTTGTCCATCTTGATTACTATCTCGACGTGGTTTTAACAATTACACTTTCAATTACAAAACGTTCATCCCTGGTCTGCTCTGATAGTAAAAATATTTAGGAAGAAAAAGACTCCAGGAGCAGAAGAAAGGATGCGAAGAGGTAGAGAGTACTTCAAAGTCTGCAAAAATTCCTAAAAATCGAAACTTATAAAAAACTTTTTTAAAAAACAGAAACCGTCAGGCTCCCCCAGCTTCTTTGCACAAAGCGTCAGGACCGCTCGGAGAAGAGCCGGGTCCTCTCTGAGTCCCGCAGAGAAACCCGGGATTCGGCAGCCGGTGCTGAGCGTAGGTCCCCTGCAGCTGAAGGCCAGGCGCCGCCGGGGGAAGGTCGTCAAGCCGGTTTCCCGGGTGGAGCGACCGGGAGAGCAGAGGCACCTGCGCCCCGACTCCCGGGGGTGGCGAGGAGGGAGGTACCGGCCTCTCGACTCGGACCAGCGCCTCGGCCGCCGGCCGCCGCCCCTCACCACCACGAACCTGGACTCATGGCCCGGCTCGCGCTCACCCCCAGCAGCTCAGCCGGACTCCTGGGTCCCGCAGCCCGGGCAGCGGCGGCCTGGCAGGCTCTTTGTTACCAGCTGCCACGACTTCCGGGAGCGGGCCGGCGGCTGCAGAGCACCGGGAGCCGGGCGAAGTGGGGTACAGTCGCGGGTAGGGGGGGGGTCCCGAACACCGCAGCGCCAACAGCGCCAGGAGCCCTTCTCGGTTACCCCTACAGCTCCCACCAGCTTACGAAGGTCCTGTAACGAAGCCCGTCGCGCCCGAGTAAACTCAACCCTGCGCCGCCAGCTTAGGCCACTCTTTCCTGAAAGCCAATGGAGGGGTCCTGGTGTGGGAACGTAGGTGCCCATGGAAGATGCCTGGATGCCTCGGAATCGGACGCGGCTGAAATCCTTCCCAGAGTCTGGAAATCATCTTTTGAGGGTCACATTCCTATGTCTCTCTGGTTTGAGCGTGCTAGCTTCTGATTGTTCAACCTGGATTTAAAAAGAACGACCATCGAGTGGTTAAGGCATATCTACGGGCGCCCTTATTTTGACGGACAGGAGAAGTCTACAGCGTGGACCGCCCCGAGGGGCCGGAAAGGATGGTCATTGGGTCAGCCAGAGGCACGTGACATGGGGGCGGGGACCCGGGAATGCGCCAGGAGTAGGGAAGCTGAGTTCTTATTTTTTTCCGCCCTGGCTTATGCTCCGTTGGGGTACTCGAACCTCACGCATCCTGGGAGGAGAGATTGAAGATAAGGCCTTCGGCCCGGAGGGCGGGCCGACGTTCTGTACCGCGACCAACCGGTTGGACCTGAGCCTGCCTGGCGGCTCCCAGCCGCCTCGGACCCCCTCCGTCGCTGGGCTTCTCATATCCTCATGGCGAAATTCTGGGTCTGCGCGGCTGGCGCGGGCTTCTTTCTTGCGTGTCTGATTCTGCATTCGCGTTTTTGTGGCTCTCCGGTGCGTTGAGTAGTGGGGAAATGGCTGTCGGGTGTGTGGAGAGCACTGTTGGGAGGCGACGGCCCGGTCGTGGGGTGGAGGTGGCGGGCCCTGGCTCCCGCACTAGCTTGAGTGAAAAGCCGCACCGCGGGCCGGACCGCCGACGTGTTGCCTTGTTTTTTGGTGTTAAAAAGTTTGTATCTGGTATCTCGCCGTTTTCCTTATTTGTCTTCTTCCTCAGCTCTCATTACATCCTCAAAGAATTTGCAGATGTGTATTTGTGGTCGCCTTGGTCTTGAGAGGTATATGCCCATTTTTTCCAAATCATTTTTGTCTAGCAGTCTGAATACCTCTAGCAGATGTCAAGGCATGTTTAAAAGTAAGCCTTTTTTCCTTTTTTTAACCTAGAGTGTGAACTGAAGTTTAATCTTCTGATTTTATTTAAGGTTTTAAGGAACTTTGCTTTTCAAATTTCTTGGAGAACTGAGGAAGTTCTTTACCGCCTGGATGTGGATTGGCCTAAGTATTCAGAATACTTTACTGGCGCAACATTTAGTGTTGCTGTTGACTCACTTAACGGATTGGTTTACGTAGCCCAAGTAAGTAGAATTGGGTCATTTCTTTAAAAAAATTATGAACACAAAGGAAACAACAGCTTTCCTGTTTTCCTGTACTAAGTAATCATATATAATGGTTTATATAATGCCAGTTGTGGAATTTGTTTTTTGAGTTGGTTTCAAGTAAATATTTTGGTTGTGGATGCGATAGATATTAATAGTTAGATTTTGAAGCTTGTATTTTAAACGTTACTGAATTTCTTGATTAACCTTTAATTTTTGTTTCTCTCTGCCGAAATAAAGATTACTTCCTTAAAACTGATCCCATCTAAGCAGTTATTTTTGTATACCTTCAGAGAGGGGATAACATCCCAAAGGTATTAGTGTTCACAGAGGACGGATGTTTCCTACGAGCCTGGAATTATACAGTTGACACACCTCATGGTATATTTGCAGCGAGTACACTACATGAACAGTCTGTCTGGATCACGGATGTAGGAAGTGGTATGTGTAGTAATAACTGTTATCTTGCTAGAAATCACATCTTTGCCCATCTTCTTGCTTGTGCATTTTAACATCAGAGTTGCCAAATCTAATTGTAATTTCTTCGTGATCATGGTATCTCCCCTGCCAGGTAAGTATAATTGTAATTTCTTTAATGATTCATTAAATCACTTGTTTCTAAAAATCTTTAGGGGCCGGCCTGGTGCCGCAAGCGGTTAAGAGCGCGCACTCCGCTGCGGTGGCCCAGGGTTCGCCGCTTCAGATCCGGGGAGCGCGCTGACGCACCGCTTGTCAGGCCATGCTGTGGCGCCGTCCCATATAAAGTGGAGGAAGATGGCACGGATGTTAGCCCAGGGCCAGTCTTCCTCAGCAGACAAAGGGGAGGATTGGCAGATGTTAGCATGGGGCTGATCTTCCTCACAAAAAAAAATAAATAAAAATAAAAATCTTTATATGGTGCTTCTGTAGAATTAAGACATTTGACAAGGAAGCTCTAATTATTATGATCTTTCCTTTAACTTGTCAAGGGACTTTTCCTCTTTAAAGAATCAGTTGCTCTTCTAAGATTAAAAAATTCTAAATCTTTTCTGTGAAGCAAAATAAAATGGCAGTCTCTAAAAGCTAGTGAGTGGAATCCTTGCCTCTCATTTTCCTTTACCAGTTCTCGTTCAAAAGAGATTGTGCTGAGAAACCCAAACTGCTTTGTTGCTCAAAATGGAAGATTTGCAGAAGCTGCTGATGTTAACTGCAGCGTATCTGAAATCTTTCTTCCATAAAATATTTTTAGTAGAATGTGCTGAAAAACAAAGTAAGCACAGAGGAATTTATAGCTGTGAAGATAAGTTTTTAGGGATAGCTGTTTGCATTGCTTGTGGCTTAAGATAAGATGGTACTAGAGATAACTTGGTATTATCTCAGGATCTCAGGAAGCGATGGGATCATAAAGACAATATTTCTAGTATTCCTTGGCCCAGTTATGTTCATGGCTTGAAGGACATCTTGTTACCCCAGTTCTAGCTAATTCAGATACCATTTTGGAATTAACAAGGTCTCAACTTTCGTAAGAATTGCCTTTATTACATCTGTTCTCAGAACGTAAAAGATTTCTGAGACTCAAGCCAATGACCCTTTTATTTCAAGCTGTATTTTGGATGGTAAGATTCTGGTTAAGCCAAAAAAATGTAGATTACCTCTGAGTTCATTGTAAAACTGTAATACTGTAATGAAGTTTGACTATTTTCACTTTTTTTTTTTTAGGATTCACTGTTAAAGGCCTTTACTTTTTAATTTGTTCCATTCTTGTGATCCTTTTTTATAAAACACTTCACTGATTCCCAGAAATAAAAAGAGCACATGAGATCTTTCCATTATAGCTTGTTTTTCCACACACAGATCTGAAGACAGTTTTTGTATTTCTTCCCATTTTTTGAAGAAATAAGTTCCCTTTAATAAAAACATGGCTACAAATCAGCCGTTTTTAAAAAACATTATTTACTAGTATTCTTTTTTGCGAATTCTTTAGAAACTTTGAAGTTTGCTTTCTTTAATAGTGTTTTGTTTTCTTATTGCTACAAACATTAGCTCAAGCCTCCAAATCAAGTATAATAATAAATACAGTTTTCAAGATAGAATTGTGATGCAAGCTGATTTACTTTATTTCCAGTAAGCTCAGCATATCCGCTTTATCTTTTGAACATCTAATGGTTGATGTGATCTTGGTATGCCTTCAAGATAATTTCTGGTAACTGCTTTATGGCTTTTCCCTATTTATTAATATTCTATTTTATACTTTTGCTTGTAAGATAATTTTTTTTTTTTTTTTTTTTGGGGAGATCAGCCCTGAGCTAACATCCGTCAATCCTCCTCTTTTTTTTGCCGAGAAAAACAGCCCTGGGCTAACATCTGTGCCCATCTTCCTCCACTTTATATGGGACGCCGCCACAGCATGGCTTACCAAGCAGTGCGTCGGTGCGCGCCCGGGATCCGAACCAGCGAACCCCGGGCCGCCGCAGCAGAGCGCGCGCACTTAACCGCTTGCGCCACCGGGCCGGCCCCTGCTTGTAAGATAATTTTAACTCAAAGAAATTTTAATGTAAGTGACAAGATAAGTTACTAGTGATTTGGAAAGATTTATTCCCTTCTCAGGAAAGAAAAGTTAATGGGTTGAATTTTGAATTTATTTCCACTAGGAGAAAATGTAGTTAAAAAAAAAAAATCAGTGTTGGGTCTGGCCTGGTGGCCTAGTGGTTAAGTCTGTTTCCACGGCCTGTGGTTTGAGAGTTCGGATCCCAGGCGTGGACTGACGCACAGCTTATCAAGCCGTGCTGTAGCAGCTTCCCATATAAGGTAGAGGAAGATGGGCATGGATATCAGCCCAGGGCCAATCTTCCTCAGCAAAAAGAGGAGGATTGACATCGGATGTTAGCTCAGGGCTAATCTTCCTCTCACATACACACAAAAAAATCAGTATTATAGAGAACTTTTTTGTTGACGTACTGAAATTTGAAATTTGCATATGAATGACTAAAATAACAGTTTTTTCAAATATAATTTGTTACTTTTTCATTTCTTTCTTGATTTCCTTTTACAAGTAATGCTTGTTCAGGGTCATAAGATTAAAAAAGTGGTGTACAATAATTTAATATCATGAGCTTTCTGTATAAGGAGTTAATTTTTTTGGTCTTATTTATTTGAGTTTAGAATGTACTTATTTTGGAGTACCTGAGATTTTAATTCATGAACAGATTTAGCTGTAACTAATGAAAAAGCCCTATTGCTTGTTAAATATAACATTTAATTATCTGAACCTACTAATTTTTGTTACTATTTAATTCTATCAAGTTTTTGCTCTCAGCTTACGTGAAAAACGTGAATGTACAGTGGTTATATTTCTGAAACGTGCGTGTCTGTCTTTATAGGATCCTACGGTCATACTGTTAAAAAATACAATTCCTTTGGTGATCTTGTTCAAGTTTTGGGTACCCCAGGCAAAAAAGGCACTGGTTTGAATCCCCTGCAATTTGATAACCCCGCAGAATTATATGTAGAAGACACAGGAGATATTTACATTGTGGATGGAGATGGAGGATTGAATAACAGATTGGTCAAATTGTCCCAAGGTACATGGCTCATTTTTGTATGGTATTATGAGAATATTATTTAATAAGTTGGACTTAATTTGTTTGGATACTTTATAACATTATAACTGTTGTATATGAAGCTGTTTGTAAAAGCCTTGAGTGTATTACTAGGAAAACAGCAGAACAGATGTGTGGAATGGCCAGTGATTCTGATAAATAGCCTTGCTTATTTTTCACTAAAAGCTAGATGTTGCCTTTGAAATGAACTAGAGGCAGTATGAGAATTTATACGGGGCTCAAGAAATAAGTGCTTATCCTGTCCAGTTAAGAATGGAAAGGTTAGGAACCTGGCGTCTCGGAGCTGGGGTAGCCTGCAGATTGATTGATCGGCAAGTGTTTTATTGTATTCCCTGCTCTGCAACCTCAGTAGTATTCTAGGTGCAGATCTGTCACAGGTGAAACAGTTAAATGCTGCTCTATGGTATTGATTGTCGAAGTAAAATAAGATTAGAAGGAAAAAGTACTATTGACAGGAGAAGTAGGACAAGAGTTCATGAAGGAAATAATTCTTGAACTCAACTGTGTTTGGTGGGAGAAGAAAGGGATGGAAGGAACATTCACAGGCTTTATCACACAGGGTCTACAGGTGGTAATTAGCAGGTCTTCTAGGAAAGGAGCTTAGGATGTACTTTTTGAATAGTAGAAAATAAGATTTAGGATGTCCTTGAAAGCTATCTAAGGATTTTGAAGCCACAATTTTGCCTATAAAGAGTCTTTGAGGTTTTTTAGTAGGCAAGTGATGTTATGCAAGCAGAATTTTTACAAGACACAATACTGTATCAGGATATATTTGCAATAAGCTGTCATTTGGAGGCTCTGTAGTCAGTTTATCACCTGGTAACTGGATTTGGTTGGTGTTAGTTAAAGGGAGGTGAGGTGGGGATAAAGCAAGAAACTAAAAAATTTTATGAAAGAAAGAAACCAGATTTAGGAGACAGATTGAATATAGGTGTATTAGTTTCTTGTGGCTGCTGTAACAAATTGCCACAAACTTTGTGGCTTAAATAGAAGTGTATCCTCTCATGGTTTTGGAATCCAGAAGTCTGAAATCTATAGGGCAGGCTGTGCTCCCTCGAAAGGCTCTAGGGAAGAATCCTTCCTTGCCTCCTGCAGCTTCTGGTGGCTCCAGACATTCCTTGGCTTATGGCAGCATTGACTCCAGTCTCTGCCTCTGTCTTCACATGGCCTTCTTCTCTGTGTTTCTCTGTTTCTCAAATCTTCCTCTCCTTTCTCTTATAAGGACACTTAGTCATTGGATTTAGGGTCCACCCTAAATCCAGGATCATCTCATCTCAAGATCCCTAACTTAATTACATCTGCAAAGACCCTATTTCCAATAAGGTCACATTCACAGGTACTGGAGGTTGGGACTTGGGTATATCTTTTGGGGAGTGGGGGGCACAATTCAACCCGCTATAGGGGTAATAAAGGAGACAGACTATAAAAACATACTGTGACTTTTTAAGCTCAGAGGAATGGTAATGCTAAATAATGGATTAGTTGAGAAGGGGAACAAGTTTCAGAGAGAGATTGACATGAACCCTAAATAATGATTTTAAGTGATGAAAAACTCAAGTGGAGATAATCATTAAAGAAGTAGATTAATTGCTTGAAACAGAGAAAGAATTTCTTTTTGTAAAGCATTAGAAGTAGGCAAATGGTTGTATAAACAGCCAGGAAAGCATAATCAACTTGGGGTATAACTGAATAGTTTGTCTGAAACCTATGACATAAAATAAAACCTGCAAATGCATAAAATATACTATGTGTTGCTCTGACCATATGTGTTTACCATTTATAGATTTCATGATGCTTTGGCTACATGGAGAAAATGGCACAGGGCCTGCCAAGTTCAACATACCTCACAGTGTTACAGTTGATTCAGCTGGTCGGGTAAAAATGCAGTGTCATTGTGTCTGGACCTGTGTGTCTGAGTATGTTTGTGTGTGTGTCTAGGAGTGTGTGTCTGGATGTGTGTTTATGGATCTTGGTGCACACGTTTGTGTCTGGGCACCTGGATATGTATGTATGACAGTGGATGTGTGTATCTGGATATGTCTCTAGGCAATTCCTCACGGGCTGGCTATACCCACACACTCTGTTATAGGTGTTTGGGTCCTATAATGAAGGAAGTTCCTCAAATATTTAGAAATCAGCAAAATAGATTTCCTATGTCACTTAAAGGGTAGAAGGAACAAATAATGGAACAAAACATAAAAAAATTATCTGAAAAAAGAGTCGCCCTCCTACTAGGAAAACTGAATGTTTGAATATATTTTTAATTCTAGAATTAAATTAAATTAAATTAATTCTGGAATGTGTTGCTCAAACGGAAGATGGGAGCAGTTAATCTTGGAAGCCTGAGAAAAAGAGCCACCCAGGCAAACTTATTCTCACTAGTTGCACTCTGTCTGGGAAACAGGAAGCTTTAACCAGCAAATTTCAATCCATTTCTCCTCCCCCCATCCATTACCACCTCTTTTGCTTTTACATGTCTTTAAGCATACATTATCACTTCTTTAGGGTTACCTTCCTATAACCAAACTCCTACCCAAAATGTTTTATATTAGTTTCTCCTTCTGTTTTCCTATAGTAGCCTATACTTCCCCAATATAGTAAGTAACTATCATGCTATAATTTAATCATTTGATTGTCTCCCCTAGTGAGAGTGTAGGCTATGTGAGGGCACGTACTGAATCTCTTTTGCTTTGTATCCTAGTGCCTGGCATATAGTAGTCATCTTATACATACTTGTTAAATGACTAAATGTCTTGGCACACAATGGATGCATCAGACTGTCTTGGCTTCATGCCATTAGAAATTTAATCCATTTCCATTTCTGCTTTAGTGCTCGGCAAGCAACCTTCTGATTATGATTTGGCTTCCTATGTTGACAAAGTGAGAATGTTTTGACCATAAAATCTTCAAGTATTTCCCATCATAGATAGGAAGATAACTGAACATGTGAACTTTGTCTGTAAATTGGGAACTAAAAAGTTGGGAATACTGGTTTTACATGTGATCTTCCTGAGCCTGGTTAACTACTCCTCTTATGGGATAAAAACAAGATCAAGTTTCTGAGCGTGCAGGACCTAGACCCAGGTAAATTCACCACGGTGAGGAATGTGTCTTTGAGAGGCCTTGAAGATCATTTGATGAGGATACTCTGGCATTACTGAGTGATAAAAAATGAGAATGTTGATTTCTGCACACTTGTGTTTTTATAACCACAACAATGCTATTGTGAGCACTTTATGTGATTAACTCATTTAATCATCACCCCAACCCTATATGAAAAGTTAATTAGTTCCAGAGTTAGACTTGTTTCCTAAAAAAAATTTCTTGGGGCCAGCCTGGTGTCGCAGTGGTTAAGTGTGCGTGCTCCGTTGTGGTGGCCCGGGGTTTGCAGGTTCGGATCCTGGGGGCACACCGATGCACCACTTGTCAAGCCATGCTGTGGCGGCGTCCCATATAAAGTAGAGGAAGATGGGCACGGGTGTTAGCCCAGGGCCAATCTTCCTCAGCAAAAAAGAGGAGGATTGGCATCGGACGTTAGTTCAGGGCTGATCTTCTTCTTCAAAAAAAAAATTTCTCACAATCATAATCTGTTGAGTAGGAAAGATAATGCTAACAATATAAAGTGTCATTCAGTCCTAGGGTCTAAACTATATTTCCTCCTTGGTCACTTATCTAAGACAGTAATCCCACAATCTTTAAGGAAACCTGTCCTTAGGAAAGAATCATAGATCAGGAAGAGATCTTGAGAAATTACCTTACATAGAGATCAACAACCTTTCTAAAGTGATACAGTGTGTCTTTGTTTCTGATTGGAGAAGAATTCAGTAACTATCAAAACTCACATGCATTGATAAAGATATAGTCAGGGTTACCCTGAAGAAATAGTCTCTGACTCCACAAACCCCAGAAATCCAAAGATCCTGAAGTGGGGAGGTAGAGGTCAGCAGAGTTGGCCCACCCTTCCAGTCCATTCTTACATACCTCTCTACAGCCCTAGCCATATGTCGTTAAAAACTGTTCACTGTATGTGCACCATAGCTTGCATACATCAAATACAGTACATGAAATGTCATTTAGAAAGAATCTACCTTCCTGTATTATAGCAGTTTACTTAATGACTTGTGACAGCCTATAGCAAACCTAAATTAAACCTATTGGTGGCCTATTATCATTCTTTATGTTACTGAAATCTCCCAAGCTTCCTCTTTAAGTGGTTTGGCACTTTGGACACACGTTGGTAAACAGCAGGTGGCGGTTTAATGATAACCGCAATATGAATGAACCCCTGGCTTCCCCCTCGCCTTAGCAGAGGAGCAAGGCTGCTTTTCTTTGTCTTTGTCTTATTACCTGGCCGAGGAACTGACAAGTTGGCAGTACTCAGTGACGGTGAATGCTTGTTAGAGGAATGAATGAACATTGTCACTTCTCATTATCTGCTAATCTTCTACATTATAATGGAGCACTCAGTTTTTTAGCTATTTAAATGTTTAGTATAGCAGACAGCATTATAGGTTTTGGGTTAAGACAGATGGCCGTAAGTGGCTCTCCCATTTATTGTAAGCTCACTTCAAACAAGATATTTAACTGTCCTGAACTTTAGTTTCCTACCTGAAAGCACTGCTCTTAATACCTTCTTTGAGGTTCTTTAAGTATTAAATGAGCTAATGTGTGTGAAACTAATGAAAATAAACATTCATTCTCTCCTGTCTCCCCTTTCTTTTTTCTTTCTTCTCATTGTGATGTGGATCTTTTCCAATAAACATTTTTTTGGTTTCTTAGGTGTGGGTTGCCGACAGAGGAAATAAAAGAATTCAAGTATTTGATAAAGACACTGGGGAGTGGTTAGGAGCATGGAATAATTGTTTCACAGAAGAGGGACCTTCTTCAGTCAGGTAATTGTTTCTTTTTAGTTTAAAATGCCTGTTTTGTTAGTTTCTCTGAAGAGCTATCTGTAAGTTTAAAATATCTGTTGTTGGGCCGGCCCCGTGGCTTAGCGGTTAAGTGTGCGCGCTCTGCTGCTGGCGGCCCGGGTTCGGATCCCAGGCGTGCACCGACGCGCCGCTTCTCCGGCCATGCTGAGGCCGCGTCCCACATACAGCAACCAGAAGGATGTGCAGCTATGACATACAACTATCTACTGGGGCTTTGGGGGGAAAGAAAATAAAAATTAAAATTAAAATATCTGTTGTTAATTTTAAGCAGGGAAAAAAGGGAAGGAAACAAGTATGCAGAGAACATATAATTGTATTTCAAATCCCAGGCAGAGCGAAAGCGGTTAAACTCCCAGTGCATCGTGGGATCCAGGTATCAGAGATAATATATACCGGACCTGTCCTACAGGCTTTATGCTCGAGATACATTTGCTAAATTTTTAAACATAAAATGAAAATGAAAATCTTGAGTCTGTAGTGTCAGACCCATCCTAACACCAATTCTCCGTTAGTTTCATTTTGTGTAGTACTCTGATAATTGTTGTTTTTAAAAAATTTAAGCTTATCTTTGGCTGTATCTACCATCACAAATCTCGTTTCCTTATAAACAGAATTAGATCAGTTTTAAATTCTCCTTAAAAGAACGCTTCAACAAATGGGTCCCTACTGTTGTTTTGCACTGTAGGGAATAAAAATGTTGAAAAAGTAAACATTTATGTGAATTTCACCGAAATTTATTATGTAAAATGTCTTTCTCCTTAGATTTACTCCTGACGGGAAGTACTTGATTGTAGGCCAGCTGAATCTTAGCAGGCTCTTATTTGTGGCAGTGCCCCCAGTAGGAAGCATCGGCGACTGTTCTGTGATCAGCACAATCCAACTAGCGGATCAAGTTTTACCTCATCTCTTAGACATCAGCAGGAAGACTGGAGCAATCTATGTAGCAGAAATTGGAGCAAAACAAGTACAAAAATATGTCCCTTTGAATAGCTTTTTCTCTTCATTCGGTTCATGATGTTTCTTTTCCTGGAGATCTTTCAAGTGGAAGTTCAGATTCTCAAATTCATTTTTAAGTGCTTGAGAATAATGTTCAAGCACAAGAATTTATTTGTACCTGACCTAGTATCAGAAAGATTTGTTTTTATATCATTAAGAATCATATATTTTATTGCCATTCTTGTGACTTAATTTTACTTGTAAGTGCATAGGGATATTTTAACGCAAGAAATGTAACTCTAAAAAAATGGCATCAGAAAGAAGGACTAAGGTTGTAACCTAGTTATTTGCCCTAGTAGGCTAATTCTTCCTAGGGGGAAGAACAGGAATAAAAATGGGTTTGCAGGGTAATGGATAGAATTTCATGTGAAGAACTACAAACCTCCAGTTTTTTCACCTTGTATAAAATGAACTGCTTGAGAGACTGAGTCATATGGGCTCTTGAGTAAGGAGTACCCACAGAGGGCTAGTCCTGAAGACTCAGAAATGAAGATGCAGGTTTGTCTGTGTGTGCCTTTTGAGTAGCTGATAGTCCAATGGGGAGACAGGTGTGCAGACACAACACGGTGACAGCAGCGCACAAATGGAGTAGGACTTTTGGAAGGAGGAGGGTTACATCTGACTGAGGAAATCACGGATACTTTGCAGGAGAAGTCAATTTGAGCTCCAACTTGGAAAACCGAGGGGGAGAAAACAGCGTAGTCCAAGTAGAGAAATTATAAAAAGGTATAAACTTGCTGTGAACTTTAGTAGGCTTTCTTTTGAAAGCCCCACTTGGCTTTGGTCCTTTAGCTGTAAGCGACTTAATTTCAACCTTTAAATGTAGGAATAAAGTGGCTAGTGTCTAAGCACTTGACTGAAAAGAGATCTTTACAAATAACTGGAATGTTTTTTAAAGGTAGTGTTAAAAATAGGGCCTCTCCTCAATGCCACCTTTCTTTTTTTTTTCCCTTTCCTTTTTTTTTTTTTAACATGAACTCAGTTCATTCCTAACATTTGTCTACCTCAAAGAAGTTTTGGAATTATTTATCTGGGGATATGTGCCAAACACTTTGAGCTATTGAGATGAATAATTTCCTACCTTTCTATTTTTACATCTCTTTTTTACCCCTTTGGTCTGAATGTTGGCTTGCCAATTAAGACCATTTTTTCAGTTTGTTCTAGTTTATTCTAGGTTTTGGTGGATCCTTGCCATATTAGGATCTTTCAGATCATTCTTCCCCTGTTCTCAGATCAGCCTCCCTCTTTATCCTGGAGTTTTATTGTAATTTGTGTAGCACTTGAGGAGTTGTGAGCTGACTTTTGTCATCACCCATTATGACTGGAGTCTGTATTCCCAGACCTCAAGGAACTCACACTTAGTGTGATGCTTGGGTCATCCCTTGATGCAGTTAGGAAGGTAAATCTGCCAACAGGAAACGGTCCTGTGTTCCAAGGCCTTGGTAAGTGTGTTTGTGCCACTGAACAAGCTGTGGTCTTACGTGAGTTGCCTTAGTTTTCTCTTCGGTACAATGGGATCATCGTCTTTCCTTCTTCAGGAATGCTGTGAGGATCAAACGTGCAGTAGGTACACATGTTCCCTTGGGAATCTATAGCTCCAAGTACATTAAAGCCATTTTATTAACAAAGGTCCTTCTCAGTGTGCTGTTTACCTGATAGCAACTATCAGGTTTGTTTAGTTTTGCGTTTATTGCTTTTATCAAAACGTGTCCTCATGAACTTTATTCAGTTTAGCTAATATAGTAAATTGATTTGGGTGAAAGAAAGGAATTTGAGGTTTTATTTGTTTTGAAGCCAGGGCAAGAAGTGCAAATGTCTCTTTGAAGGAATGCAGGTTAGGTGAACTGATTCTGTCATTTCAAAAATGTTGTATTTAACTTTGTTTTATACCAGATTCTTATAAAACTTGCTAAAAATATTGGTTCCATATATCTTGCTAAAGTGTTTATTTTACTAGAATACTTGTAATCATAGTGTTTTACCTTTTTCCTTTGGATTAATTGGTTAAATGGAAGAGAAATGTATTTTCTATTAAAAAATACGAATTAAAATTTTAGAAAGAAAAGGTGATATTTTGACATTCCTATTAAAGTTTGGTTTTATTGTTACAAAACTAGTTTATAGCTTCTTATTCCATTGTAGAATTTCAACAATTGTGATCTATCCATTGATGTAAGCAGTAATTGTAAAATCACGAGATGGTGCTGAGCGAGCATCCTCTTCATTTACATGTGAAATGTAGGCTGAAGTACATAAGTGTTGCATGAGGTTGCTTAGAAGACTTAAACAGCATGGCTTTTGAGATGGTGGGTGGGGACAAATGATAGTAATAACTACCTAACTATATTTTTGTATTAGAAATGAAACTTCTTTATTCCTCTACTTTCCAGATCTTTTCTGGGGGGAGGGTGAGGGTGTTCTAAATTAGAAAACCAGAGGCTATAGATATCTTTCCTAACCTCCACTATAACATTGGGTCCTTAAAATGGAGTATTTGTCCATCAGAGAAAATGTACATGCAGTCTGATGGTAAACTAAGACCTGTAATTTGTGCTGGAGTCACGTAACAGATTAAAAGACGGCTTCAGGCAGTGTGGCTAAAGGTGATCAAGTCCTAACTTCTGTTTTGCTTTTGTTGGTTTTAAACATTATGGGATTTAAAGCAGGATAGATTGGATAGTGAACATTAAAACTGAAACTCAGACTTTTGCCCCTTAGATTCACCAAAATAAATCAGTTAGAATCACACACAAAAAAAGTGTCCTAAATTTGTGACTTTAAATTGTTTTACTCTCTGCTCTAAATTTTCAGCAGTTATCAAATAAAAAACTTTTTTAAAAAGTCAGAATAAATCAGATTTATTCATTCAACAAAAATATATAAGAAACAACAAATTTGAGAAGGCAATTAGGCAAGTGTCCTCTGCCCCAGAGTTCACTACCCGTGGGAAAACAAGCCACGCAGACTGTGGCCCCTCAGTTCATCCTGAGAGGTGCCTGTTTGGCACTTGTGTTGTATTACATTCTTGATACAAAAGAGGGCAGTAGAGTCCTGCTTATGATAGGCATTTCTTGAAATCAAACGTGGGCATATGTTAACTTTGTTTATACTTTGGTTTTTTAGAAATTGAGACTACGGTGTTAATCATACTTTTAATTTTTCTTCTCTTTCTTGAATTTGCTTACATTTTGAGGAAATTGGTTTATAGGTGACATATTTTCCAAGGGTCCTTGGAAATTTTTACTGTTTAATTGGACAGTTCCACATTTTAAAAAAAGGTTAAACCTTTTCAGTAATTCAAACTAACAACCAGAAGTGAATAACTCATTTTAAATGTTTTAATCTATAACCTGAATGAGTTTAGCACAACAGAAAATGCATTCGTATTATCTGTAAAAGCAATATTCGTATTCTTTTTTCTCCCTACTAGTTTTATTTTCCCAAACCATTTTGCCTTATGGTTGCTGACTCATTGACGAGTGAGAAAAACGGATTATTTACAAAGAGGCAAAGTCATTTCTCTACCAGGCACTTATCCATAGAATCCAGGCGTTTATAGAGTAAATTAATCCTGTGTAGGTAAGAACTGAGTGGAATTTGAGCAATGAAAAATAGCACTTTCTGAAACTTTTGTTTCTTCCATTGTGAACAATGAAATCATATTATGATTTAGTTCTGCTTCTATGTAATTCATAAAGAAAAGACACATAACGTGAAACAAGCATGTCCTAGGTAGGTTGAGTCTTGAATAAAATCTTTAAAAAGGTAGATTAAATTGCATGTCCTAACAGGTTCATATCATACCTGCTTCTCAGTTTTCAGCTACTTGACCACTTCATTCTCAAGAAGGAAAATTTTAGTAGTATGGATCACATCTCAGATTCATTCTTTACCAGAATCAGTTACTATAATATGTGTTATGAAAATTTTTTGTCATAGGGCTTTTATGTACAAATGGTCAGAATCACCAAAGTTAAATGTTTTTAGAACATTTTTCTTCATAGTATATGTACAGGAGTATTTTAATGTTTTGATGCTTACTGTATTTAACTCAAATAGTAATTTTTACTTAAGAGATTTAAGAACTAATTCTGTATATGTTTGTTTTTAATCAACATTAATTTTTAAAATTTATCCAGTTTGTTTTCTTTGTGGGGGGTGTGTGTGTGTGTGTGTGTGTAAGTGTGCATGTAAAGGGCATTATGCCCAAATAGGTCGGAACAGCTGGATCAAAACAAGTAGTTGAAACTTAACATGGCTAAATGTTAAGTATGTATATTTAAAAATTCATGAAAGAAAACCTGGATTGGCAACAAATTGTTTGAAAAAGAATTGGAAAGTTTGTTGGCCAAAAATATTAGGAGGCTTTTTAAGAGAAAACTGTTGCAATCTCAGAGAACATTAATGTAATTCTAGTGGCAAGTCTATGACCCTGGTAAACAGATCTGCAGTGTTGCGTTTCCTTTTGGATGCTACATTTTGAGAGAGAATCCTACCAATAGACTATAATCCAAAAGCAGGTGACCAAAATAACACAGTATTTGGAAATAATTGAGATCTTCAGAGGGTGATCATGTAGTGTAGTGAACAGACTTACTAAGTGAATGAGTAGAAGTAGCAGAGTGGCCAGTTGGCTCAGCCCAGTGAAAGAACCTTCTAGCAAAGAGATGGTTAGCAGTGGAATGGACTGGGTTACTGCTGGAAACGGTTAAGCTCAGTGATTCACAGCTTGAAGTCTGGAGTTAGGTCGATCTCGGTTCTGATCCAGGGCCTGCCACTTACTTTCTGTATTGTTGTTGAGACTCTCTGCTTCATTTTTCTCATTTGTGAAATGGAAATAATAGTATTTTCCTCCTAGGATTATCGTGACTACTAATAAGATCATGCATGTAGAGCGTTAGACCCAGTCCCTGACACAGTGATCACTCACCAAAGCTTAAGAGATTCATTTGTGGTATTTAAGCCAGAGACGGGCAGCCATGCCACCTTTGGGCAGAGATTCTTAATTTGGGAAGATAGTGAGACCAGATGATCTTCCCTGTTGTATAATTCTGTGTTTAGTCACAATATTGAAAACTAAAGG